CAGCACTGGGTTGGGATATTTTCTTGATGCACACTTAACCTTTACATAAAGCTCTCTCTTATACATGAGTTTCTGTGGATTTGTTTTTCTAATATATCCAGACTAATACACTATCTCAGGGCTTATCTCTTGCTATGGCCCCAGTATTCACCTAGTTGATGTCCTCAGTTCACTTAGGTGTTTGCTCCTCAGAGAAATCTTCCATGGTCTCCCAATCTAAAAGAAAATTCTTCAAAAAGTTCAGTCTCTTTGACGTGCTCTGTTTCTCCTCATAGCACATATTATTATGTGTTATTGCATCATATGTAACCTGTTATATTTCATGAGAATTCAAGTTCCATGAGAATATGGGCTTTTTTCTTTTTTTTCAGTACTATCTACCCTGACATAACATTGACACTTGATAAGCATATACTGAAAATTAAATGAATGGTCAAAGAAGTAAGTTATTTGTGGTAGATATAATTGTCAATTTAAGGATTAATCATGTAGGGGTGGAGTTTGGCCTGTCAATCAGGTCATAGCCAATGAGGCTTCTTCATAGGCATAGCCTTCCCCTAAGAATTTTGGGAATTCCAGCATTTCCTGCTTGGAGGTGGGGGACTCTCTGCTCACACCCTGGGAGACATAGCAGGTGACAAGACACATGGACCCACCTTAATGCAGCCCTGGGTACTGGAGAAGCCATGCAGAAACCCCTGCCAGCACGGAGATGTTTCCAATGCCACTGGACCCAAAGACTTTCTACCCACTGGCCTGTGATCGTCTACATTTGGCATCATTGCATGTGTTTCATGAGTCTGAAGAGGACTTTATAGATTGGTATCAGACATAGGCTAATATCAGATTTATGGACTTGATCTGGACTGGGCTGGGGTGTTTTCTGAATGTTCAATTTCTCTTGTATATAAATCTCTTTCTTATGAACATATGTGTGTCCATGGATTTGTTTCTCTAGGCTAACACAGTATTAACACAGACTAACGCAGTATTTCACATGTGATAAGTACTACAAAAACAACAACAAAATAAAGTGGGTTAGTGGGAGTGGGAAGAGTGTAGAAAAGTGGTGAGGAGGTTATTTTTGATAGAATAGCCAAGGACAATCTCACCAAAAAGGTAGCATTGGAGCAGGTTTCTGAATGAAGAGAGTGATCATTAAATACATGCAAGGAGAGTGTTCTAGGTATCAAACCAAATTCACTTATCAAGTTGATGCTGACTCAGTGACTCTGTAAGACAGGGTTGAACTTCCCCTGTGAGTTTTGAGACTAACTCTTACTGGGAGTAGAAAGTCTTGTCTTTCTTCTGCAGAGCAGCTGGTGATTTTGATCTGTTGACCTTGCAGTTGGCAACTCAATGCATTAGCCACTATGCCACCAGGCACCCCAGCTTCTATCTATAGAGAACAGTAAATAAAATGATTCCTAAGATGACACAGCCTAATGTGTGTAAGCACCAGAAAAGAGGCCAGTGTGGTTGCAGCAGATGGAGCAGAGAGAAGGGTTGTAGGAGATGGGATTGGGGAGGAGACAGGGCCCATGATAGAAGCTTAGAATTTCATTCTCAATATGAAAAGAAACTGATGGCAACAGGGAATGGGCCATAATCTAACATTTTTCTAGGCTTTGTTGGGTAGGGGGAGCCCTGGGTTTTCGTCTATTCTAGCAGATGGGTTGGAACTGGATAGTGGGAGGGCAATGAGAAGATATTGTAATATTAGAGGAAATATATATATGAAGGATGGCTTGAGTAGGGTTGAATCATTGAAGGTGTGAGAAATGGGTAGGTTAAGCCTTTGTTTTGAAGTTAAAAATGACACAATTCCTGACTCATTCAAAATTCAAAAGATTCCTAATACACCTTTGACATTATACAGAGGTCTTAAAAAGTAAAGTCAGTAAATCTTTACTTTTTAAGTAAATCTGTCCAATTGAGGCATAATGTTTATTCTACTTAAGACTCACTATCCAAAATATGGGTTAAAAGAAGATAGTATGCTAGGTGTTACGCACATTATTTTATGGATACATCTGGAAGAAGAGTAGAAGAAGTCCTAAACCCAAGCTCATCTCAGATATCATCAAACTTCTTTTATCTGTGAGCTTTCAGCATTGGGGGCTCAAATCCAGAAGGTTTGATGACACTTTTTCCACCAATGAGACTGCTCTCACCCTGAGACTTGATTTAATCCTTGGCAAACAGAAACTTGATAAACAGCCTTGAAAACCCTATTGAGGTTAGCAACTGGACAAACAACAGTGGGTGTGTTGTAGATTACGCCCCTAATTTCTAATTGTTTGGAGAAGGAAACACGTTAGATGACTGACCACTGACTCTCCCGGTCTGGGAAAATGAAGAGAAAACAACAACAACAACAAGTCCTGTTCAATCTCTTGAAGCCCTTTTCCCCAAGGAGTCATGCTTCATCTGCTCATGTTTCCTTGGTAGGATTCCCCTCAATCTACACTTTTACCTCTGCTTCCTCTCTCTGCACCACTGTACAAATATGAAAGACACAGGGCTGTATCTCTTCTGATGTGTTTCATAACATCTCTGCCCATTGTCAACCACAAGACTTTTCTGTCTGTGCTGAGCTCCGCTATTAGAGAATATTCTTTTTTTTTTTTATCCAAGTGAGTTTCATGAGTGTTAGAAGAAGTTTCAAGTTTACACAGGCACCCATAGGACTCCCCTCGAACATGCAGCCTGCCTAGAAGCTGCTCGACGTCATGCAAAAGTGTCGAGAATATTCTTAAGACACAGAGAGATTCCCACTATTTTACTGCCTGACTTACAGGAACAATGGCATGTCCCCACTATTAGACTAGAGCGAACTAAAACAGCTCATCACAAAGAGGTTGCTCTACTTTCTTGTATCCACAAATGGCTAATGATGCTGATGGATTCTTTTCAATTCCTTACCTTTTTCATTGCAGAGTTCCACATTGAATCCACTGAGGACATCTACATAGGCAATCTACTATGTAATGTGACATTAACTAGTAACTAGAAATCCAAGAGACCTGGTTTAATAACAATCAACTGCTATGGAGACACACATGTCTCTGATTCAATCTTCTCATCTTCAAAGTAGGGATAATAGTGCTACATACCTCATTTTTTCTTTTTTTAAAAAATAAATAATTTATTAGGGGCTCTTCCAGATCTTATAGCAATCCGTAAATCAATTGTATCAAGCACACTTGTACATATGTCACCATCATCATTTTCAAAACATTTTCTTTCTACTTGAGCCCTTTGTATCAGCTCCTCTTTTTACCCCTCCCTCCCCATCCTCCTTGATCAATTATATATTATTATTGTTATTTTCATATCTTATACCATCGGCTGTCTCCCTTCACCAAAATTTCTGTTATTTGCTCCCATCATTGTGATAAGTTCCCCTCTTTTCTCCCTTCCCCTACCCTCATGGTGTGGTTACTCCCACTACTGTTCCTGAGGGCTTCATCTGTCCTCATTTACTAAGAGTAAAGAATGAAGTCATTTATATGCTATTCTTAGCCTAGTCAGCAGGTGAAAATGATTAGATGATAGTGGTGATGATCATTTTGAAGGGTTGGGGGCGGGGGAAGGACTCACAAAGCCACAACACAAGATTTAAGAAACGAAAGGATTTATTGAAGTCAAATAAACAAATTACATGTTCATAATTATTGTCATAAATATTAAGAATAGCCTTAAAAGAAAGTCATAATAACAAATATTTTATAAATAAATTCATATTAATAAAATGGTATAAATAAAATACAAACTTAAAATAATAAATTATTGAATTAGTTTACAGTATTTGTTATTGAAGCAGGAAGTTATTTAAGGGTTGTTGTTTTTTATTTTCCCCCTCAAACAATGTTAAGTAACTTTTTTGTGGAAATAAATAACTGCTCACAAAAATAAAATATTCTCTGAGAGTGAGATGCCAGCTATAATAAAACATGATCAATGACTCTCTTTAAGCTTGAAAAGTCCACTTTCTAATCATATAGATAGAAATGGCCTTGTGGTCCTTGTTAAGCTAAGCAGGGGCTGATTTAGAAACCACCATGAGAGGGGAGTTGAACATCTTCTTTTGGTATCCCGTGAAAGAAAGTGTTCATCACACCGTTGTCTCTAACAGCAAGAAGGGGAATTATTCATTGTCCAGCTCCTCTCTGGTCAAACGCAGGCTTCTTTCAGTTTCAGGAACAGCAGACCTAGTTCTCCGATTGCTTTAATCGCTCCGCTCTCACCAAGCTGTGAACATAGGAACACGAAAGTGTCTGAGCATTGACACCACGTTTTCCAATGAGGAACAAACTAGGGGGCGATGGTAGGGTCAGGCTGCTGGAGACACAAATCAAGTTTTAGCCTTTTGGGGGGAAAAAAAAAACTCTCATAGGGATACTCTTTTAGCCAAAGTATAATGTGGCTGGCACAAGACCTTAAAACCATGGCTATTGGGACTCAGGCATCATTTCATGCATCTAGCTGTTTAAAATGCAGGTAGAGGGGTGCCACCCTTTTCTTTACCAAAGCAAACATATTCAAGTTATGCTGGAACTTAAGTGCCACCCATTAGTGGTTTGCCCTGTGTCACAGTCTCACATTGCCTAGGACAAGTTATTTATAGCAACTCCACACAAAGCGCCTAAATCAAAATCACACGTTTACCAAGTTTAGCCTTTTCTGTTCTCACCTTCTGCACAAACAAACAAGGTCTCACTTTCACGGGGAAAGTACCAAACAAGTCTTTTCTTGTTACTGTAATTACTAGAGAGTCAGATTCAAGTCTGAACATCCAGTCCCTTCTCCCCCTTTCAAGGAGCGTGTCGATGAAGTTCTCCAAGTCAATGGGACAGAGAAGCTCATTCAAGTTGAAGCATTACTGAAAGGCATCTAAGGAATGTGTCCAAGAGTATTTCAAGAAAAGGTGTAAGTCACTGTTGTCCTGGCTACTTTGTTCTTCTTTCTCTCCTTTCTTCTACCATTCACTTTTCCACGCTTCTTCTGACCCTGCTAAAGACTCCCAAGGCTACAAAGTTCACCTGGCCCAGCTGCCATCCACGATCCTGCTGTCTGTTTTCCCTTTTATCTCCAGTGACCAGAAACTGAAAGCTCCCAACAAAGACTGTGCCTCCCACTTCAGGCAATTCTGTCCCGTTTGTCCTCATGATAGGTTCTCTAGTGGTGGCACGGTGCTTTCGAAGCAGTCTGCTGCTACCCCATCAGCTGCTCTGTGGGAGAAAGGTGTGCCAGTCTGCCTCTGGAAAGGTATACGGCCTTGGGAACTCTGTGGGGTAGTTCTACTCTGTCCTATGGGGTCATTGTGAGTCAACAGCAACTCTATGGTTTGGGAGCTTTTTCTGAATAGCTTTCCTCTCTATGTGTGCTTTCTGGATCACTCACTCACTCTCTGCCATCAGGTGATGCCAACCGAAGGACAGAGCACAACTGTCCCTGTGGGTTTCGGAGACGGTAGTTCTTTATGAGAGTAGCAAGCCTTATCTTTCTTCCATCTGGAGCTATCAGAAACTTTTAAAGCTCAGTCACTCTTTGCATGGAAAATATGGAATGGATTCTCTCTGAAATGGACTAAAGTTTTTTCAAATCTCTTTACCCACACAGACCATCATCAGATTTTTCCCATTTCACTCTTATAAAGATAAGGAAATAAGCTGACACCAGAGATATTTTTAAATATGAAGTATAAAACATTTCTTGGATATGACATGTTAATATCCCAACCTCTGCATCTAAATCAGAGTTCTATGACAAGAGAATTGTTCTCCGTAATGAAAAGACTCAAACCCTTCAATTATCAAAAGAAGAAATAATTGTTTTGATTATATTATACTTGGGAAGAAATTTATTTAAATATATATATATATACATATATCTTGTTAAAGTGAACAATGAGGGTAAATTTGGTACTAAAGTTTCCATTAATTAGAGCTTTCATATTTTTGGAACTTAAATTGCACCTGTTTGCAAGAGCATCACTTTTTCAACTATTTCTTCCTCAGAATCCCTGCCTGGTACAAATGATGAACACTCTTAACTTGTAAAATGAAAATTCGTTTCCACCCAGTAGCACTTTGGAAGAAAGGCCTGAATATCTAAATCAAAAATATCAGCCAATGAAAACCCGCTGTAGCAGTTCTAATCTATATACACCAGGGTGGCTGTGAATCAGGGTTTAATAGAGACAACTGGTTAATCACTCCTCTGGTCTTTGAGTAAATCAACAATGCTTAGTTTGAGTCATCTGGTGTTATTCATCTCCCCAACTAGACCACCTGAGAGGACCATTTACTGTAAAACTATGCTGCTGGTCCGGGATAGCTCATTGTGGAAAGAGGGAGGAAACCCAAAAGAAAGAGGTGAATGAGAGTAGAAAATATTCTTTCCAATTTAGTTTCCTTTGCATTAAAAGAAATCAATCTCTTCTAATGTTTTCACTCCTGTTGAAACTGTAAAAGTAAAGCTAGGTAATGCTATTCTTGCCTATCAGCTGAAACCAATAGTTATCGGGTGTTATATTAGAAAATTTGAATGTAAGTATCTATCATTTCAGAAAGTTTCCAGTGCTTTTGTTATTGCTGTTCTAAGTTTCTTTCTCCAAATTTTAAGTAATCAAATTAATGTCTTCATAAATCACTTCAAGCTAAAATTTCCCCAAGCACTTTTAAAACTTTGGACAACTTTCTCTCACATTACATGAGCTAATAGGAAACTGAAATTTCCCTAAGAATCAGTCATACTAAAACCAAATAGATATTGCTGCTGGGGGGAAGGACTGGTTTGGAATTCAAGAGACCTACTTCTAACCTTGGCTTTGTCACTGGCCTTCTTGAGATCATAGACAATGAGACTAGATGAGTTAAGTTCTCAGCAAGTTCTAGAGCCCTACAACCAGCAATATTTAGAAATTGATACATAGATAGATGGACACATCTACATTCGTTTGCACCCAAGTCACTGATTTGCTGGTAGAATCAAACAAATCATAGAGTGGGAAAAAGGAAAAGAAAGACAACATTTGTCTCTCTTGTTTGACAACTTAGCCTTGATGGTAATGAATAGTACCTCTCTGACGGTGTCTTCCAGCGCGTTCACCTTCCTCTGGATATGCTGGTCATTCCCGTGGATGTGCTGTAAGATGAAAACAAGAGAGCGGTTTCCACGTGGTCCTGCTGAAGAATACCGAACCTCGGCCGCTGCTCAAGGCACTTTCTAATTCACCTGAAATGAAAGCTCTTCGTCATTTTGCCCACAGTGACCTAGATTGCACCAGTGACCCAGATTTCCTGAGCGCTTTCATTCCCTTGGACATCAAAATCCAGGTGCTTCCCTTCCATGAGACCCTCTTCTCTTCAGCTTTCGAGAGCCCTAAGGAGGTTTCAGTTTGCGGGAAATGTTGCACGGTCTATGCAAATTCCCTCAGGAACAAATTCCAAATTGTCCTCCAAACAAGTGCATAAATCTCACGGATGAACAGTAAACTCTCTATGGTAAATACTACATGCCCTTTCCGTGCAAAAAATTTCTTCAGAGTGTTACATGTGCAAGAGACTGTAAATTTACACACTTCTGACTGTCACTTGCCATGGCACCAAAAGGGGCAACATTATCTGCGCACCCATCTTGACCATTAAACCTCCCCACTTAGCTTTTTCACTTTCCCCCATCCCCCTGCATCTGCACCAACAACTTTAACTCAGTGGAGCTACTTCTTCATATGGTTCTAGGCGTTTTTTGCCTTAAAGTTCCCCACACCTTTGACATCATCCTTTGCTATTTTCGAGGGACAAATGAGGTTTGCCTGCGTTCATTTTTTTAAGACCCCATTTCACCACTATAAACTTGAAATGTGATTCAACTAAAGCAAAAACAAACAAATACTTTTGATTCCAAATGACTTTGGCAATTGAACTTCTGAGGCACCCTTACTGAAGAATCCTGGGAGGAAAGGCGATCAAGAAGTAGGAGGAGAAGAGTGGGCGTTAGTGCAGAGAAGAGGGCTTTGAAAGAAACCTGGAGAGAAGTAAGGAAAGCAGCAAGGAAGGGATGGACTTAGGCTGGGAGATGAACTTACACATAGGCTTAGGTTTCTGCTCACTGTGTCCAAGAAGGGCACCACCTGCTGCATGTAGGGCTGGAAGCTATGGATTCGGGGAAGCAGCACTTCTTCAAGGGTGAAGTTCAACACCTGCTTCATCAGATAGCACTGCTCACTCTTCTACAGAGCCAAAATTCAACAGCAGGTGTCATGGTAGGCAGACCCCAACATCACCACCACCCCTCAAATCACCATCGCTGGCATCATGTCCTGCTCCCCTTGACTAGACTTACAGGAACTCCATGGAGCAGGTCATTCTCGATGAGGCGAACATCAGTGTTGTTGTCTTCCAAAATGGCCTGGAAAAGAAGAAAGGATGAAGGGTCAGGACACTGAGGAGACTGAAGAAATATCTGTAAGTAGAGTTGTACCCCAGCCCCTCTCCTTAGTTCAATCCTATAAACATATAGAAATCATTCAGATGTGTGCATGACATTAATAGAATACACTAAACAGTAAAGGGAAAAACAAATCCTTGGATTGGCTGCCAAATGGCTCCTTTTTGGATAAAGGTCAATGGGATGTATTCTAAAGATTAAAACAGAAGGTCTTCTCGTAAAACCAGTCTTAGCGAAGGCATGGAAAACTATCTCTGTTCTACTAGTGGGGCTGTGTGATGGCAATTTGAAGACTTTAGAATGTTCTGAAGAAAAGTCTGTGAACTATTCAGTACCCAAGTCAATAAAGTAGAGAGACTGTGAGGAGTACCTCTTTGGCCAGGGTGAAGGTGAGGTTGAAGATATGTGGCCCGAAGAAGTTCGACTCCTTGAGCCTGCAGTGGGAATTGATAGGCGCAGCTGCCCCTTCCTGCACCGACAGGGCAACAAGCAGGAGGCAGCCAGCGAGAGCCGCCACCAGAGAAGCGCTGGCAGATTTCTGCAGGGCAGACATTGTAGACAACGCAAACTCGAGCAACTGGCGATTGGGGTGAAAGAACCTGGAATCAAGAGAATAAGGGGGCGAAATTAGTCAAGAAGTCTTATGTCAAACAAACCAATTATACCAAGTTTTCTAAAGCATCTACCTGTCTGGAAGATTCGTCTTGTGAAGTGAAGGGTAAAAGTTGCTGCTTTTATAGACCCCAGAATACAACCTTTTTTTTTTTTTTCATTGCAAAAAAAAAAATGACATCAGCAATAGTCTACTTTCCAGCATTTCCTTCTGAGAATTACCTAACCACCACAGGAGCCCACAAGACACCACTCTTCCCATTTTAAGATCTGAGTTTTTCCCTCAAACGTCACTAGGAGGATGCTTTCACAGATAAAGCCTGGAAATCTTCTAAACACTACATATATTTCCAAAGAAAACAACGACATTGTCTTAGTAGATTCCAGATGTAATATAATAGTCTTTGATCTCCTGAAGTAATCGAGTAAGCATTTTGATCGCAGACTCATTTTCCTACCAGATTCTCAGATTTTTACCTCATAAGAGGTGATAAGAAACAAAAGACCCGTGTCCTATATCCTCTGTTTTAAAGCAAAGATAACTAAGAGGTAATTCTACTTAAAGAAAAATCATTATATCTCAACTCTCTTAGCACGCTTAATCCTAAACAAGGATTTATATTTTTAAAATAACAGCCTTGCCTAATCCAATCACTGTTTTCTACCCATTTGGGGTTTTTTCTTAAGCAATCATCAAAATTGTACTAAAAAAAGTATATTTTAAAATTACATTGGTTGAAGTACAATCAATATCAATTTAAGTTTAGAAATAAAAGTGCTGAACACTATGTTTAACATATTCTTTTGAATAAAAGAATATGGTGGATTCAGGAAATAGGCACTATTCTGGACATTTTAAGTGTGCTTATTCTAAACAGCACTGACATTTCAAAACCGTATGTCCAAACAAGTTGTAAATGATTTTTATCAATCTCCGAAGAAAAGAATTTGGAAATAAAATAGAAGGGACATCAATTGACTTTAAGTCATTAAAAAGCCATTGAATCCTAAATGACACCAAAAAACAAAATGGAAAAGGAAAGCAAATTTTAGGTAAGTCTCCTGGTTGTACAGAGACAAAAGAAAACTTGAAAAAAGGGAAACCTTTTAGTGGGGTTGACCCTGAGCACAGATAGCTAGCTAGACAGGGTGGACCAACTTCATTGTCTCACACACACACACACACACACACACACACACCCCAGGCCCCAGCAAGGTCATTTTCTCCTCACTTACAAAACTTGATTTCCATAATTCTCTACTCTTCATTGGAGGTATGTTTCAGTAAATAAGCAATCTTCTTTCAAAATACAGTTCATCTATTGCTGGGGGTGGGGAGTATGAATGAGTTAAAATTTGTTTATGCAGATTTTTCTCTTCACAACTAGTCAAGATAATGGGGCTTTAGAAGAAGGGAGATGGGAAGAAATTATAGTAAAGAACTGAGGAAATCGTTCTCTTCCCTAGGGGAATGGCCGTAATTATAGAATCTCGAGCAGTTTGTGTATTGGTACCGATTCAGGTAAGGCACTGAGATGAAGGGTTAGGATGGTGAAAGAACACTGCATTTAGGGAAGTAGACTTCAGAGAAAGATGCAAAAGGGGAAGCCAGAGAGAGTGAAACAAACAAATAAACAAACAAAAGATTTCTTCCATATGCTTGAGGGTGGTTCAGATGCCTGAGTAACAAAGAGAAAACTTCTTTACCCAACTTCCAATGACATGAGAAATGGTCCTTTTTGCCCAGACGTCTGTATAATTAATAATAGCCCTTATAAAATGCCTATCATATAGAGGATAATGAATGCAAACTCACTAAGCCTGTGAAAAGAGCCCTGGTGGTGCAGTGTGTTAAGCATTGGGCTGTTAACACAAGATCTGCAGCTCAAACCCAGCATCCCGTCCTGGAACAAAGATGAGGGAGTCTGCTTCCTTAAAGATGTATCGCCTCCGAAACCCTGTGGAACACATCGATGCCGTCTAGAGGCTGCTGTGAACCCACCTCCTTGTCAGTGAGTGGAGTTTCTTTTTAGAGACGTGTAAGACTGTCCTGACGCATTGGCTAGTACTTGAGAATTCACAACAGCGAATGCATTCTTTCAAAACGCACATCTCCCGAGGAGAAACAAGACCTTTTATATCATAGGTGAAGAGATCTAAGGTTCCTTATACTCCTCACATAATCACTTTTCCATGCAAGGCTCTTTCTCTGTGTGTGTACGTGTGCACGCATGGGTGTATGTGTGGGTCTATGCATGTGTACTTGTGTCTGTGTGTGTGTGTGTGTGTGTATTCTAGTTCCCACCTTCATTATTCTCTTCCCGTCCCCACTGAATACCCAAAACTCTTTCCTCCACCTCCACGCCTGTCAGCTCACACAGCTGTCATCTATTTGCGCTAGATGTATTCATATGGCTGTACCGCTGGAAAACAAAATGTTTAGTGTGTGGTTTTATTTGGTAAGAAGAGTCTCTTTGTTTTCCACTCGTCACTGTGGTGTTGTAATAGATCCATATTGCTGTGTGCAGCTCATGCTTCTGACGTGACATTCCACCGTGGGGTCCCATCACACCTCACTTATGTGCTACCCCAGCGAAGGACAAGTAGACGGCCTGCCGTCATCAGCTGCTATAGACACAGCAGCTCCGGTCAGCTTCATCCAGGTCCTTTGTGAGACTATTCTGGGAACAGTTACTCAGGAGTCGGTTCCTGAGTCACAAGGAAAAGTGTATGGATTTTTATTGGATACTACCACATCACTCTCCCGAAAAGCAGCGTTAATTTTCTTAGCAGACCAACCAATGAAGGTTTCTGTTTCCTTGGATCTTCACCGACCTTTTGGTATTACACAGCTTTCTACTCTTTACAGCTTTGAGAGCTTTGAATGAGCTAGTTATTGCAGTATTAGTTGACATTTTTCTTCATATCCTCGAGCCAATTGTGATCTTTATGAATTGAGGGTTTACATTAGTTGCTTTTTTAAAAAACAACTAAGCTTTGGGATTTTCCTTGTTGACTTGTGAGGGTTCCGTGTATATTCTAGAATCTAGATATTACTCTGGTTTTTGTTGTGGGCAGAACAAACCATTTTCCCAATTGGTCTGCTGTCTATTTGTTGCTATTGCTGCTGTTGTTAGGTGTCACCGAGTCCATTCTGACTCAAGCGACCTTACGTACAACAGAGTGGAGCGCTGCCTGGTCCTGTCCGATCCTCCCAAACCTTGTTCTTGTATTTGAGCCCATCAGTGCAGCTACTGTGTCAATCCATCATGTTCAAGGTCTTCCTCCCTTTGTTCATTGCTATTGATATGAAATGCAAAGTCTGTATTGTAATTCATAATATTTTGCCAATGTCAATTTACTACGTTTATAATCAGATATTTGATTATGGAATATTTTAAAAATTATTATTGATTGGGAGTTAATACATATATCATATCATACCATAGTTCCATCACATCAAGCAGTTAAAATTGCTACCACAATCATTTGCCAAACAGTTTTTTCCTTCCTGGACTCCTTGACATCATCTCTCTTTTTTGCTGCTCAACTATCTTACCAAGCATGATGCGCATCTTGGGGGCCTGCTCTTTCCTGACAACATGTACGTGGCATGCAGTCTTGCTGTCCTTGCCTGGAAGGAACATTCTGGCTGTCCTCCTTCCAAGACAGAGCTGTTTATTTTGGCAGGCCACGTCCTTTCAATACCCACTGCCAGTGCCTAATTCAAATGAATCTATGCCGTTACTGTATATATCTCTTCTTGATTGAGCAGAGAAATTAATCCTGGTGCTATCAAAAACATTATTTTTTCTTCATATGATTTCAGCTTTTTAAGGCTGTGCTTAAAAAGTTTTTTCCCACCCCCAGATCACAGAGATATGAGCATTTCATACTTTATGGCTTTTACCTTTCACACCCAGGTCTTTAAAGCATAAAAATATATGATATAAAGCCAGGGATTTTTTTCCCTCCACATACTGAGAGTTTTCATTTCCAAGGGCTGCAGTAAGCAAACACCACAAACTGGGTGACTTATATGCACAGAAACGAATTGTCTCACAGACTTGTAGGATGCACCACCAAATTCTGATAGTTGACAGGGACATGTTAACTCCTAAAAGTCTAGAAGCTCCTTTCGCTTCTCTTCCAGTGCGTGGGGATCTCAGGTGCTCCCTGACTTGCACCTTGGTGGGTTCCGTTGTCACAGGACCCACCATACTGTAATATGGCTTCAGGTTAACTTCGTTGATGGCACTTCCAAAGACCCTAATTCCAAACAATGTCATGATCACAGGCACTAGGGCTCCAGACTTTAATAATCTCTGTAAAGGACATATTCAATTCATAATAGTATCCCTGTGTTTCCAATACCATCCAATAAGTCAAAGACACAAAAATCAAGACCTATCCCCCGTAAGTCAATTCTGATTCCCGGTGGCCTTATATGACCAAGTAGAACTGCCTCATGGGGTGTCCAAGGCTGTAACTGTTACTGAAACAGATGCCACGTCTTATTGCCATACCTTTGGACTGCAGTCCTTTTGATGAGTGGCTGAGTGCTTAACCACTGTGCCACCAGGGATTTTAGTCTAATAAGCAGTGTGTGGATGATCGTCAAGTCAATGTGAGCCTTGGGTATTCATCTCCTGCTCCGTTCCAATGCCCACTGCCCATGCAGCACTTCCTTTCTCTGACCCTGACTGCCCCAAGAACGAAACTTCGGCATGAAAGGGCCCCAGCCTTCACACTGTCCAATAGACGGGTAGGAATCACACTGCATGACACCCTGAGTTCAGACCCACTGGCTAGCAATTTAGGGGCTCTCTTTCTCTGGTCGCTGGGGCTATCCAGTACCCCTCACTTCTGATTTCTGCCTTGCTGACACCTACTACTTCCTCAAGTTTAGTACTTCTCTGGAAAACATTAGCACTCACCGAA